TAGATGTTAGCTGTTCGGAATTTGAAATGGATATAATCACAGCCACCTGGTGAGGTTAGCATAGGGCAAAATGTGCCAGGTTATGTAATGGGAACAGCTAACATGTAGCCTTTGATCAGGTGCAACTATGTCGACAATTTTAATTGGCTGATGCTTAAACTTTTTCTAATGTTTGCAAGTATGGCCCCGCCGTGTCCCTATGCTATTCTACAATGTTGTCCATCTATTAACCTCTACGGGATCGGTGTCCCATATACGGGACGGTTGAGCTAACATGCGCTAATGTGATTAGCATGACTGTTGTAAGTAACAGCAAACTTTCCAGGACATAGACATGTCTTATATGGGCAGAAAGCTTAAATTCTTGTTAATCTAACTGCACTGTCCAATTTACAGTAGCTTTTACAGTGAAAATATACCATGCTATTGTTTGAGGAGAGTGCACAACAACAAAAAACTTTTCACGGCAACTGGTTTGATACATTCACCTCTGAAGGTAAATAATGTACTTACATTCAGTAATTTTGCTCTGATTTGTCATCCTAAGTGTCCCAGCGATAAAATGTAGCATAGTTTTGTTTGATAAAATCAATTTTTATATTAAAATGTAGGAACAGGGTTCTACAGTTTGAACCCCTGCTGTCTCTGGCTCCACACCCACCCCACCCGGCAATCTAGAAAGTTAGTGTATAAGCTAATGATCCATTATGTATGACATTCCTGGGAGTGTGTAAACTTACATTTTGCATTACCATATCATTTTTGTATGTTCTCTATAGTTATGTACTTGAAAATGTATAAATTGACCAATTCGGCACATTTGGGCAGACTTGATACAAAATAGTCCAGTATTGCAATGTTTCACTGGATCAATCTGAAACTTTGCACACACACTGCTGCCATCTAGTGGCCAAAATCTAAATTGCACCTAAACTGCAATATTATATTGTGGCCTTTCTCTTGCATTTCAAAGATGATGAAAAAATAATAATAAAGAAAACGCATATTTTTTTGTTTGTATTAACTTTTACCAGATCTAACGTGTTATATTCTCTTACATTAATGTCACGTTTCCACAAACTTCAAAGTGTTTCCTTTCATTTACATTTTAGTCATTTAGCAGACTCTCTTATCCAGAGCGACTTACAGTTAGTGAGTGCATACATTTTTCATACTGGTTCATACTACTTTCAAATGGTATCAAGAATATGCATATCCTTGCTTCAGGTCCTGAGCTACAGGCAGTTAGATTTGGGTATGTCATTTTAGGCGAAAATTGAAAGAAAAAGGTCAGAGCCTTAAGAGGTTCATACTTATGCAATTAAAGGAATAACGTCAGAAATTAGTTGGAGAAAAAATACGAAATATGCATCTTCCAATTCACAACAAACATCACCATTTTATCCTCATCTATAGAAGAGGAGACCAATGCCTTTATACAGTAACAATGCAAGGGGTGTGCCTTAAGACAGGACAGAGTGGCCATTTCACAACCCTTACAAAAGCTTATTCATTATTAAGGACACTCAGATCTGGTTACACAAGAGGAGGGATGAGAAGCACAATATCCAGTGCGTTTAGGAGGTCACTATTGAGCTTCTGGAAAAACGCATGGGTGTGGAATGAAAACGAAGTGGGGAATCGAAACTTCCTTTACCTGATCATTATAAAGATAAACCATTAGACAATAGCTTGTTAGGATAATTTAACCAGACTCACATACAGAATAGCACAGGTAATTTTACCTCACAGCTGTGTTGTGCAACACTGCTGATATGATCACATTTACACTATAGTACTAACGATTCCAATACTGTTATGGATGTCATTTTAGCATTGGCCAAATCCCCTAGACCTTTGTATTGAATAATGACAGATATCTGTGACACAGAAAAGGGCAGCCTCTACCACACATTCATCATAATGACAGTGTCACGTCTTCACATCTTGTCCCTGAATTGGAGAGTGACCTCTAACCGTGGGCTTAAAGATCCCTCACAGAGACCCTAACACATCTTCCCATTGTATAACACTCATACATAATCATAATTCTCACCTAGTACACAGCTAGACTACAAGTTCACATTATTTTCCTTATGGGGTCTCCTTACCATGAACTAGCGTAGACTCAGAGAAGAGAAAACATGAAGCCGTTTGTCCCATTAGCTGCCTGGGGTTCTGTTAGACATGGAGCCTGTCTGGTCTTTGCTGATTAGCTACACACACACACACACACACTGTTGCTTTGATGGTTATTGAGATAATTCTACAGGCGCTCTGATTCTATTACCATCGTTCTACGACCGCAGCAGCAACAAGTGAGTGCTATACAAATCTCCAATCTCAGAAATACAACAGGAATTTTATTCAGTCATTCAGTCATTGCTCTTTGCTTATGGCAATGAACGGTAGTGTATTAACCAGGAACATTCACTAGTAGGAGTAAGACCTTGATGAATGAAACCAGGAGGAAGAGTGAGCATTTCAAAAGGAGCAGAGGACAACCAGCATCAATCACCTGAAGAAACGGAGGAGAACTAGCTGCTGAGATGCCAAAATCTCGTCTTTCTTTCATCCACATCCCATGGAGAAAGAGATGGCATAAATATAAGTCAAACTGTAAACCACACAGACGCACACACACACACACACACACACACACACACAGCCTTTACCCATCTTTGTAAGCTTTATAGCTTTAAATTCCTAGACACTTTGCTGTCTCCTGGCCACCAGGGGTCAAAGTCTGAGCACACATACACACACATGCACAGACACACATGCACACACACATGCAGAAAGAGCAGGAATGACCCTAACCCACGATCCACATAACATCACCTCCCTTGGGCATGAACCCCCCCCCCCCCCCCCCCAAAACACACACACACACACACAGACACTGTATGTTCTGGAACAAGAACACTCACCCCCTCCTGATGTGCTGGCGGCTGAGGAATTGCCACAACCCATTTTGCATCGATGCAGCTACCGTCCAAGCAAACAAGTGAAGCTCAAAGAGAAGAGGAGGGAATGGAGAAAAGAGCAAAAGTCATGTGGAGATGGAAACAGTTGAAAGCGGGATGAAAGAAGGAGGTAAGGAGTTGTGTTATGTCTCTCAGTCACACTGATTTCCTATTTGGTGGTAGGCTCCTGCGCTCTGTGTCCATCCCCTCTGCAGAACTGAACTGAGTGGTGTGTGAAAGCATGGAGATGCTGTTATATACACAGAGGGAGGGGGAGAGAGAGAAAGACAGAGAGAGAGAGAGAGAGAGGGGGGGGGGGGGGCAAAAGAGAGAGGGGGAGAAAGAGATGATTTTAAATTTTTCTCCACCCTGACAGGGTTGCCGAGGAAACGGGGTAATGGGGAGGAGGGTGGGGAGGAAGCCAGCCAATGGAGCTCCCAAAAGGGACATTATCAATGGTCCAGCTTGTATGTGTGACATTCCAAATTCCTGATGTGGTAACATGCATGTTAAAATACACAGCTGAAAAGCCTGTAAGCCTTTGAGAAGCCTGACATATCTCACAAATAGTATTTTCTTCAAAAACTTCAACCCGGGGTCAAACTAAGTTCAGCATTGTGTGATCCTCTAATAAAGCACAACAGCTCCACTAGCCTTTCCTTCTCTGAATGTCTTATTATGTTTCACAAGCCATTTTGGCAACAAGACTTGAGCTTGGATACCTTGCTGTGTACTACTAGCCTACTAGACTTACTACCAGGGCTCAAATTCCATGGAACCCGCATTGCAGTATTTACGCAATAGCTCCTTTCCCGATGGTCAAATAAACAATATACAAAAAACTAGCTACCACTATCAGTTAGACTTTCCTCAAAGGTAAATGCATCCAGTTTTCACAATAACAAGAGTCTGCATTGGCAGTAGTTTGTAGGCCTAGTAAACCAAAATAACCTGTGTAGGCTACTCATTACCCTTAAGATAATCGTTCTCATGGTTTCCCTAACCAAGCCCGCAGCAACAATGTTATATTTTTCTGGTCACATGACGTTTCAGGTGTTGATGATACAGTGTTTTGTAATGTCTGCAGTCCATGCTTAGCATCAGCTGGAGCTATGTAGTCCAATTCCTTAATAAAAACAGATGTTTCTCTGTCCTCTCCAAACCCTGAGGGGTTAGAACTTTCATTAACTCTGGGTGCACACACACACACTCACACACACACACACACACACACAGGAGCTGCAGTCATGAGATCATTAGACAGAATTAAGCTGAACATGCATTGACTGTGAGTGAGGACAAACCTATTATGGTAACAGCTTGAGATAAATGCAGTACATTCTATCTCAATCCTCACCTTTGTCAAAGATTATGAGTAGCCTACAAGTATGATTACAGAGCTAGATGCCTTACAGGTTTTGCAATTTCAAGAGCCAAGATCTCTTTCCATCTCAACGTGTTATCGAGTGACTCAATGTTCTTTTTTGTGGTTTTTGTGGTACATTTCGTACGCAACTGAACAGAGTTCAATGGAAATGTTAGGCTATAATTGCGTAAAACTGAGTACCCTAACAATCCCTTCAAACTAAATAACCCTCAAAACTAGGTAATATTCAGGGACTATTTATGATTGTATTTGGTATTTGGCACTAATAATTATAGACTACAGTACATTTAATTATCCATGCATCCAGAGGGGGACACTGTTGTCTTGTTTCTCAGCCCATTGACAGTGAGCCTACAGGCTACAGAGAAAGCCTAGAACAGCTAATACAACAGGAGTTCAACATTCAAAGACAGGGCGTTTTCAGAACAAGACTATTCTTGTAACTTGGATTGCGGGTGGCCTGATTCTAAATTGTGTCAGTGTTCAGGACATAATGCTTGCACGATTGCTCACTGGTTGCTCTAAGACTGGCTGTTCAGGGACCGCCTGCAAATGATACGTGTCATCCACATCCACAGACAAAGCTCTCTGGGAAAGAGAGTCCACGCGCTAAATAATTCAAGTCCGTTCTCTTCGCTGTGAACAAGATGCCGGCCGTCCATACACTGCTTTTAGAAGAGGCTTTGCAGGACAGTCCTCAGGTGAGTCGATACTATGTTCATGTTATGTGCCGTTATTGAGAGGAAAGGTCTTGTAGGAGATGTCAAATTGGCTAAACCAGCTCCACTGTTGTAGGCTATTTACTCAACTCGACGATGACAGCTTTGAATTGCCTTATTGTAATGGAAATGTAGACTATTCCGCAGTTGCACACCCGCGAATTGGCTATGTATGCGATGCAAAGTTGATACAATGTGTCACAAGTCGTAGCTAATTGTTATCAGAAACAAATGTCGCCTACAATTTGCATAATGCTCGAGATTCGAGAAGGGCTTTCCCTGTCTAGTATGAGTAGTGACGTGATGAGTTGCGCATCGCCCGGTCTGTAGTTGGCTGTTGATAAAACAGTGTGCATCAGAACAACGAGTCGTTGTTTATTGTCACAGTCTTTTGTAGTGTAGACCATTATGTTTTGCGAATGACATGGATGATTTGTTTGACGGAAGTGTTCAAATATGTCGTTTTTGAAAAGACCCCGAGTTGGGGCCTGGGCCTATTTTACGGGCTGTTGTAGTTTTTTTTTGGGGGGGGGGGGGGGGGGTCGATTGGAATTAGTTAATAGCCTAACCTACCCAGCTATGGGACTGCAATGTGGAATATCTTTCGGTCAGGATTTGAGGCACTAACTAAACTTAAATGTCCCCAATAGCTTTGGTGGTGGGGAAATGTAATTCACTTAATATTTTTAGCCTACTGTTATTGTTAACAGTTAATAACATCTTAATAAAACGTTATAAAACTATCTTAATTGCACGTAGTGTAATACTACTTAATAAGAGTTAGGTAAAGAGTCTTCTTGATATTTTCCACTTGCAGATACAACAAATTTAGGATACATTTCTGTACGCTAGGCTTCACTGTCTCTTATGTTATAATAGGCTGTGTCAGAAAAATCGAGCATATTACATGCGCTTAAATTATTTTGTCTTCTTAAATATGTGTGTAGTTTACGACTGGGTCATGTGAGTTTAAGTTCAACATATGCCTGCGGCTTATGTCTTGCTCTGCGTATTTCAGAATAGTTCATCCTATTCAAATCAAGGAATCAATTTGAGTGAGTCAGGGACTAGAAAGTCACGTTTCAAATGAGCATATTTATGAATAAAGGGGCTAGGCCTACAAATGGTGTAAATATAAATCTATACACACAATAAAGGTGTGTGCTTCTTTGCCTTACCCATGACAGTTTACCACACCACGCCTGTCTCCAGACAATTACAGTTGAATTACAGGTGAACAAACAGGCTAAAGGTCTTAAAAGCTTATCCCTAATTTGGCCTATGTCAGCGTTTTTCAATCGGTCTATTGTCTGGCTGGCTGTCTGGCTGGCTGCCTCCCTTCTGCTTGCCTGTTTATTCCATTGCCACATTGCCAGTCTCTGTCTGTCTGTCTGTCTGTCACTTGTCATAGGTTTCAGTGTGTCCTCTTCTCTACAGACTCGCTCCTTGCTCAGTGTGTTTGAGGAAGATGCAGGGACGCTCACAGACTACACCAACCAGCTGCTTCAGTCCATGCAGAGGGTGTATGGAGCCCAGGTAACACACACACGCATGCACACACATACAAAAGCCTGTGTCCAATCTAGAGTTGGGCGGTATCCAGATTTTCAAATTGTCATACCATCCTTCTCTCACCCTGGGATTTACAGTATTACCGGTTTAGTACACAAGGGGACGCATTGGGCATCTATTACCAGAATGCTAACAAAATTAGCACAAGTAATAAAGAATTTCCATGGAGGCTGCTAGCTAAATATGCTAACGAGCACAAACGAAAATTAAACACATTTTCATTTTTGGTGAGTTTGTACATTTTCAAGTGAATGTGAACGAGAGATATTGTGCAAATGAACAAAGTTGTGACTCATGCAGTACTGGCTCTGGAGCAGCATGTGTACAGGCTGTGTCTGTGTGGAGTCTGAAGTCGCTAGGGCAACAGGCCTGCCTGCTCTGCTCAGAGAAGAGGGGGGAGGAGCAGACAGGCTGAGAACGGAGAGGAGAAAAAAACGCAAGGAATTCAAGATAGCAGTGGCAGCTGTACAAATAACTCATCCAAAGGGCTTTGACTTCTCAAACACGGCAGAAAGCTAACACAATATGATGCCCCGTCACCTTATTAATTCAGCCACTTACTTAGATAGCAAGTTAAATTAGGGGTTTTGTTAACGCATAATTCTGTAACGATGACGCTGGGAGTCGAGAAGCAGGTGCTGGTGGTAAGTTTAATAAAACAATGAACGATACAAAACAGGAGTAGCGTCTGGACATGAAACACATAATCAACACTGCCTGGGGAATGAACCTAAGGGAGTGACAGATATAGGGGAAGTAATCAGTGAAGTGATGGAGTCCAGGTGAGTCTCATGATGAGGCGCAGATGCACGTAATGATGGTTGTCAGAGCCAGTGATTAGTAAACCGGCGACGTCAAGCGCCGGAGAGGGGGAGCTAGATGTGACAAATTCAGTTTTTCACGCAGGAAATAAATATAAAACACATAACAAATATCTTCCTGCATTTTGTCAACGCATATCTAAAATGCTTCTTATTGTAATTTATGCTTGACATCAGACTTTTGTGCTTCAGTTGCACTTCTAAACTCTTATGAGAATTCACCAACGGGCATTCTATCAACAGACAGAGCTTCAACTGATGTGTAGCTTATTTTCTCCAGTACTTTTCTTGGTGTAGCCAGCCAATTTTTCTCAGGTAAAATGCAAGATTAACTTTAGGCAAAATATTAGGAAATGTAGCTGGCTACATTATTTATATGATAGGCCTGAACATTAGAAATATGATGGCCATGCATTGTTTGCATGTTTGCAAAAAATACCTTGCTTTTTCATTGTACGCTCATTTACTTGTGTGGCTGCCAGCCAAATAGCATTGATTTAAAATGATTTTTCTGCCAAATGTGTTGCACCAATGTATTTTCTGTGAAGGAAAACTATAGTTGCACGTCCCTGATCACTCTATAGAAGCAAAAAAACACTGTTGACTTCCAATATAAAACACGACCCCTGTCAATACACAGCTGGACTCACCTGCTCCCGCTTTCTCCTGTTGTGCTATTTACAAACAAACGTGTGACTGGCTCAACTGTGCTGGGGGAAAAAGTAAGCTTCATAATGTAAAATAATGTGACAGGTGAAATATGAATGAAATCCGCTTTATCTCCTAATGCATTGCACAAGTTGACTGCAGGTATTTACTTAAGAAATAGCTACAAATATTAAAATGTATTGAAAAACTTCAAAGAAATAGTTTGTACGGTATTGACAGTATTGAAAAACCATCCCATGGCTATTTCCGAATACCCATGTATAAGGTATATACGGTATACCACCAAAGCCTAGTCCAATCCAATTTGAAGAGTCATTGATTCTTTATGTGAGGATACAATGGCTTAGTTTTCATGATGTGTGCAGTTTCTGAGATGTAGTTTCCTGTAAGACAGGTCATCCAGAGGATAAACTGCTAATAACATCCCTTCCTGTGTTCTTCAGAGTGAGATGGGATTGGCTACAGAACAGCTGTCCAGACAGCTACTGGAATATGAGAAGCAAGTAAGTCTCATTGAGAATATTGAACAACACTCATGTACTTAACTGCAGTGTATTGCGATACGCCTGTTACCTAGCATTATTTCAGAAAGCATAAGACTACATTTATGAAGTTCTGTCCTTGAGCTGTTCTTGTCTATTAATGTTCTGTATTATGTCATTTTTTGAGTTTTGTGTGGACCCCAGGTAGAGTAGCTGCTGCTATAGCAACAGCCAATGGGGATCTAATAACTAAATAAGACTCAGCATTCTACCATTGGATTTGTTAGCATATTGGTCCTTGACAGGAGAGAGCAGCATGCCAGCAATTTGATGAGAATTTAGTATTTCTAACATCATAGTCTCAACGTTTATTTGGAATGTGCTAGATTCAGTGTTTTATGGCATTTTTAAGTCATGTTTTTTTCTTCAGAATTTTGCCCTTGGTAAAGGTGACGAGGAGGTGATCAGCACACTGCAGCAATTTGCAAAAACTGTGGGGGAGGTGAGGCTAGTGCATCTGTGCCTGTGTGTTTGTGTTACTGGGTTTGTGAGCATGCTGTTTACACAGGGAGTGTTGGTGTGCATATAGGAGTTTCTGGTCTGAGAAGAGTGAGTGAGTGAGTGTCAACGACAGTGTGTGAAAGTGCAACAGTCATGGAATATATGGAGGTGGAAAAAATATACAACTGACACATTTCAACATTAGAGCATCCACCAGCTCTCTGTAGAGGCTATGGGGCCCAGGCTGCCAGAATGAGGGAGACCAGTGGCGGTACAGCCAGGTAGACAATCACTCTGGCTTTCCTGGAGGTGGAGGCGTAGTCTAGTGGTTAAGAGCGTTGGGCCAGTAACTGAAAGGTCGAATCCCCGAGCCGACTAGGTGAAAAATCTGCCGATGTGCCCTTGCGCAAGGCACTTAACCCTAATCGCTCCTGTCAATCGCTCTGGATAAAAGTGTCTGCTAAAATGTAAAAAATTACAGATGGACTGAGCCACAAGGGGTCCATGGGCCTGGCTGGCTAGCCTGTGCTGGAGAGGCATTAGAGCGGTCATTGTTTGCCCTTCTGGCCTAACTACACAGGCCTAGAGAATGCATCCATCTCCCTGCAGATTACACCTAATCCTGCTCTGACCTTAGGTTCACACTACTGTAGGTGTTGGACACCACTGTGTGTTTACTTGATAGATGGTTTAGCACTTATCTGAATTTGGCTTCTTTAGATATGACTTGATAACGAAATTAACCAGTCCAAGTCAAGCACAGCCACATAGGGTATATGCTTTATATTGGTAACAAATTACAGGATGAAATTCATCTTCAGACCAAGAAAATGTGTTTTGACTGGTTCTCAATTGCACAATAGTGATTTGGCTGTGTGATGATCAGTCATTTTAATTAACTGCTTTTCAACTCACTTTTGAACCACAATCAATCAACCCCCTGCTGTTTTCAGAGATTACGGAAAAGCCAAGGGTGCCTCTGGATAATTTAATTGTCTCTCCTCCCCAGCTGAACACACTACACTCAGAGCTGGCCACTCAGATGGCTGACAGGATGATATTTCCCATGATCCAGTTCAGAGAGAAGGACCTTACAGGTAGACACAAACACCTGCTCATCAGCCTGTTGCACTCATTTTGAATACAATTTGCATGTGATTGATTCTGGTTTTGTGATTTGTCATGGTTTTTGACACACTGAATCTCTATTTGACTTCTCAGAGATAAGCACATTGAGAGAAATATTTGGCATCGCTTCTGATGGTATGTATGGGTTTCTCAAATTTGATATGATTTTGTTTTGGAGTTGTTATAACACAGTAGCTGATCATCAGACTCATGTCCACTCCTTCCCCCTCACAGAGCACGAGGCTGCCATGGTCAAGTACAGCAGACTGCCCAAGAAGAAGGAGAATGAGAAGGTAGTGATGGGTACTGTATGAGATGTCTACTAGCCAAACCTCTAACAGTAGAACAATGCACTGGTAGTACCTGTTAAACTGGTACAATAGATTAAATTGCCTCATAATAGTTGAGAGGTCATGACATACGTTAGTTTAGAGATCATTTTGCTGTACTTAGCTCTCCCTCTGATTAGCTGGGTATTTGCGGGCGGCAGGTAGCCTAGCGGTTAAGAGTTTTGGGCCAGTAACCGAAAGGTCGCTGGTTCGAATCCCTGACTGGTCTAGGCGAAAAATCTGTTGATGTGCCCTTGAGCAAGGCACTGTGTGTGTGTGTGATTAACTACTGTGTTATGGTGCAGGTGAAAGCAGAGTTGGTGGGGGAGGTGGCCTACTCCAGGAGGAAGCAGCACCAGGCCTCCATGCAGTATTACTGTGCCCTCAACGCCCTGCAGTACCGCAAGAGAGTGGCCATGCTGGAGCCCATGCTAGGTTACACACAGGCCCAGGTACCAACACACACCCAAACCCCCAATTGCAAGTCGTTAACCCAATATCAACACACTCTTTACTCCTACTGCAATAAACCAGGACACCACATATTGCTGTGGTCCTACAGCAAGTCAGAACTGGAGAAGCAATGAATGTATTTTCTCTTTGTGTCTCTCTCAGATCAACTTCTATAAGAAAGGCATAGATCTAATTTCAAAGAAAATGGACAGCTTCCTGGCCTCAGTGTCCAGCATGACACAAAATATCCAGGCTCAGTTGGACTCGGAGGCTGAGGCCATGCGTATGACCCAGAGAGAGCTTCTCTCCATGGAGGACACGGTCTACATGCCTGACCGCGACCCCGCCCCTGTCAACCGCACGCTCATACAGAAGGCAGGCTACCTCAACATCAGGAAGTAAGGCTCTGTTTGATTAGGTTAAATTCAGTCTTTCAATATCTTGCATTCAAGGGTGATTTAATTCAACTCAGTCCTTCATTCAATGCTCTTTTATTCAATTTGGTGTGTCAGTGTTCGATGTCTTCTCCTTGTTTGATGTTTTCAGGCTATAGCTGGATGTGTTAAATTGTGAACGAATGTGACAGCATTGTCTGCAGTTCTTGTTTTTATTCCGTATCAAAGGAAACTTGAATGAATGCGTCAAACTACAATTACAATTTGTCTCAAAGTTAAACTTTTTGTACTTCAGTGAAGACAATTTGTATGTCAGCCCTGGCAAGGTGGGCTGTCAGCTACGGTTATAGTTAAATATAAGAAGAGAAACTTGTCTTGAGGTAGAATTGCAGAACTAACGTTGTGATTTAGTAAAGTGTCAGAACTGTCAAATACAGTCTTTTCCTCATATACATCGTCAATCTTTGACAAATGTCTGCAGCACAAAATAAAAGGTTCTGCAGAATGCCATTTTATTTAATGACACATCTGTCTCAAATGCTTGTCAAACGCAGCTATGCCGAAATATAATTTGTTCTCCCCTTTTTTAATGGACAAATCTGAGTCATACAAAAAGTTTTTGGATTTGAGCTCTTAGCACTTTCTGAGTGCTTTTAGATTTCCGATTGAGATGTTTAGTTCTATTAGCTGAGTCATGGAGACGGCAGCTGCTCCAACCCTGTGAACTGGGTTGTGTTCACTAGGAACTAAACGGAAGCAAACGGGCCTTCAGGACTACCTGAACGATTGTTTTCGTTTTAGGTTGCAAAAGTTTTTCCTATGTTTTTCTATGGTGTGCAGTAATGAATACAAGCCTTTTCTGCAGTAAGACGGGCCTAGTCACCACAGCCTGGGACCGGCTTTACTTCTTCACCCAGGGAGGGAACCTCATGTGCCAGCCGCGAGGGGCAGTGGCAGGGGGTATGGTGCTGGACCTGGATAACAGCTCTGTCATGGCCGTAGAGTGCGAGGACAGACGCTACTGTTTTCAGATCACCTCCCCCAACGGTAAAACGTATGTACGCTAAATATTCACACTTCCTCCTCACCAAGACCTTCACTGGTCACACACAGATTTGTGAGGAAGACTTGTTATGACCCTACAAAAAGTGTTATGTTTTAATTTTGTTGCAGGTCAATGATTTTACAAGCAGAGAGCAAAAGGGAATATGAGGAAGTATGTATCATATCAGTCAAATATGTTGTACCTGTTTGTTTCATAGGTTTCTTTCATCCATGTGTTAAAATCCATTGTTACAATTTCATTCCTGAAAGTTCTTCTTGCCTGCCTGTCACAAGCTGCGTTAGAGGAGCTATTTGAAATCTCTGATGTTTGTTGAGCAATGGCTATGAGTTTAATACTTTCCTTTGTTTCTCATCTCAAGTGGATTTGCACTTTGAACAATATTTCCCGACAGATCTACCTGACTGACAACCCTGAGGTACAGTATATATACTCTCTCTAATCAAATCAAGTGAAATAAGTAGTAAATCAGTAGTATTTCATAGCACTTGAAAGAAGTCACAATTAATAAATCAATATTATGTTGTGTGTGATTATGTTGTGTGTGATAAGGCGAAGACACATTTTTTTTTTACACCAAGCCCATTCTATCTGAGTAGCAGCAGGGCACTGTGATTGACTGATACAGGACAGGATGTTTCCGGAGTCCAGTCTAGCCCTAGAGACTTTGCAGGGGGCTGATTATGCTCCTGTCTGGTCTGTTTTTAGCACATTTCCTGATTGTTTTAGAGATGATTGTGCTCCCATGGGATATGTCTAAACTGGGATATGGTGTTTTACAGATCTTAATTTGATCACTCTTTTGTTACTGTGTATTTTACTGCACAGCAGGAAATGCAAACTTGTAGTGTATTTTAGTTTTTAAACGTTTCTAAAGTCTGTAATTTTCACTTTGAAATTTCCGACTTGATTTGCACTAAAGAAAAATGTATCAACCCCTACAAAAATGTCCATTCATTATAATCCACATAATAATTCAAATGTCCTGTTGCTGTAGACCAAAAGGCTCTATCTACTGTATACTGTGTGTGTATGCATGCTTGTGGGTGCATATGTGTGCGTGCACCAGCAGGTTCTGCATGTTCAGAAGTATGCTTTGCCATAAATTGAATACATAAACAAATGCATCGTCTGTTCTGTTACTTCGTCTCTGACCTCATGGCTCCCTAGTGCCCGTGGGTAATTTGTTTATTCCAAACAAACCAGGAAGCAACTCTGGCAAGATGCAAACAACTGATGGGTTAGTGTAAGGTCAAGTACTGCTTCCAATTGATACTTTTCATAGGCCTATATGGTGTACATAGCCTGTCATGTATTATGTAAGACTTATATTACTCTATTGATGACGGTGAAGAAGGTTGGTTTGATCCCAAAGGTCTTCTATACCTGCCTCAAACTAAATAATGTTCCCAATAGAATTAGCCAAACTACGCTCTCTTGTGGCACCATGTGTTAGTCACAGAGCATAACGTTAGGACTTTTATCATTATTACAGTGTAATGACAGAAACTGCACCCTGTTCCCCTCTTTAGGCAGTGGCCATCAGACTGAACCAGACAGCCATTCAGGCGGTCACTCCCATCACCAGCTTTGAGAAGAGAGGAGAGGGCTCGCCCAACCCAGACAGGTTAGCCTCAATCATGTGGGGGAAACACCTTGATTTTCCTGGATTTCCCCAAGAGGAAAAAAAAGAATATCTGCATGTTATTTCAGGAATTCTCGCGAGTACACTCGCACTCATCATTTTAAATTTATTTTTCCCTTCCTCTCTCTTCATTTCCCTACCTCTCTTTGCAGGGCTAAGCCAGGTGGGATGCAGTCCTCTAGCGGTGCGTCCCAGAAGACCTCCAGTGCTCCTGAGCCAGAGGACCTGATAGTTCCCGGGACACCCATCCAGTTTGACATCATGCTGCCTGCATCGGAGTTCCAGGACCAGAACAGGACCGGAGGGAGGTAAGATCGACACCACAGGGCTGGTGTGTCAGAACCATTTATTGTACTCTGATTTGTACAATAATAGCTCAACTGGGTTTAATTGTGTGTGTTTCTTCCCTGACAGGCGTACAAACCCTTTCGGAGAAACAGACGATGACTGCTCCCCTGAAAGCGACGGTAGGAGTGTCTCCAATCCAGTTTTCATTGGTACTGTACTCTTTATGCACTACATATCCCCTGATCCTCTCTGTCTCCTGATGTGTGTGCGTGTCTGTGTAGACTCCCTGCTGCAGCAGGTGTTTGCGGTGCGGTTCCTGGGCTCCATGGCAGTGCGTTCGGGACAATCCCAGGAGGTGATCTATGAGGCCATGAGACAGGTGCTGGCGGCCAGAGCCATCCACAACATCTTCAAAACCACAGAGTCCCATCTCATGGTCACCAGCAGTAGTCTCAGGTACAATAACAGGTCAAACGGCAGACCCATGATAGTGCTTAGAGAGTTTAACCTTGCCACTGTGCTTCTGCTAGCTATGTTGATTTATTGTGTTCTCTCTTTTGTTATCTTTACCACAGGTTGATTGACCCCCAGACACAAGTCACAAGAATCAGTGTAAGGGCCTGAAAAATGTTTACACAGGCAGCCCAATTCTGTATTTTTTCCACTAACTGGTCTTTTGACCAATCAGATCAGCTCTGAAAAATAATGTGATTGGTCAAAAGAACAATTACTGGAAAAAATATCAGAATTGGGCTGCCTGTGTAAACGCAGCCGTATACTGTAGTTATCAGTGTAATGTTGTCTGTTCGCTAGTGCTTCACTCCTGGTGATAGCACTAAGGTTTCAGAATGAATTCATCCCTATTGGTCCTGCTCTCTCTCCTCTTCCTCCCCCACAGTTCCAGCTACAGGAGGTGACCCAGTTTGCGGCCCACCAGGAGAACGGCAGGCTGATGGGCTTCGTGGTGGAGGGGCGAGACTGGAGCGAGGGGGACGAGGAGGGAGAGCCCTCCTTTAGTGCATTTGTCTTCGAGAGCAACACAGAGGGGGAGAAGGTAGGCATCTTAACACACATTCATGTGCTGGGCTCACTAGGGCACAAAGCCTTCAGTCAGTGACTTTACTTGTCCTTTATTTGCCATGGGTTCATCTGTTTCACAATGTAATTTGCGTCATATCTTTATTCACAGATATGTTACACAATAAGCTTGGGGAAGGATATTATAGAGGCAAAGAAGGTATGTTTTTAAATCAATCTCAATTTATGAATTCTCAATCTAACCCACTAATATGCATCTGAATCTCTGTGTCGGTCTGTCTGTCTGTGTGTGTAAAGGACCCAGAGGCTCTAGCCCAGCTGTTGAAGAACATGCCTCTGACCAACGAGGGCAAGTTCCTCCTGCTGAACAGCGAGACAGGCAACACGGCTAACGGAGGAGCTCCGGATGAGGAGGAGTCTGAGGCCTAGCCAGGCCCAGTGGAGGGTTTGAGGTTCCCCCACCAAGCACGTCCTCACGTGGGGTTGAGGTGTTCTCATGAGCCCTTCCCCTGGCTCTAGTCTGGTACTACCTGTTCACCACTTGACCAGAAAAAAAACCTGGGTCTATATGGTGTATCTCTTATGACCACTAGAGTGAGGTAAAGGTACAGGTACTTATACAAAGGGACAATGTTTAGGTTTAATATTTCCATTATTTCACTCCTTTTCACTGGTGGAATTAATATCCTCAGCCACCCTGTCAGTTTAAACTGGGACCTCCAACACTAATACATTTACATTTCATAACTTTGAGTTTAGTGGTACCATTGTGTCTGTGCTGCTGTATAAGTATTGTGTTGAGATGGATGGCCATGACATCTTACTTTTCAGCAGCACTTAATGACATTATTATCTATCATTCCTATAGGACAATATTGCACACCCAAGGTTTCTATTTAATCAAAGGCTTGATTTCTGTAGTAGAATGCACTAACGTCAGATATTGTCCGGCAGCATTCTGAAGTAAGATTTTAGGCCTCGATTAAATCAGATCGAGCATTAACCCACGTTGGCCGACATCCGCATAGCGTGTTGGATAACTGGGAACGTGGCTGCATAACGCGGCTGCATAACACGGCTGCATAACGCGGCTGCATGGGATTTGTCAGATATAAAGTCAGGTGTGGCGTTGTTGCATCCAATGGCAGTGTCTGCGCTAAGGTAACGCAAGGAGACGCTTGTGGATTTGACAGCTGTAACGCAGTTCCACCTCAGACGCAGTCAAAACATGTGCTATGCAGATGTCGGCTAGTGCAGATCTGATAGAATTAAGGGCTAGATTCTATTGGCTTCATAGAATCTGCAAATCTAAACAAAACACTAAAGGCAAAGGGGAAACATGCATTGCATTTTCCTTCGCACAGGCATTGCATTCCTGCGTGTGTATTCTCTTAGCCCTGATAACCTGCAATACTAAATGTCATGTATGTGCGGTTTCTGAAGGTGAGATGTTTTTGTATTGTGGAATAATAACGGTAATAGGTCAAAGCTCGACTTTGCGTGGACCGCGAGGTCATTCAGTGTTGACCAAGGTGTTTGCTTGCATGCCGAGATGATGAAAACAGCTTTTACAGAGTTTTGTCTGAGTGTAGGTGAGTTTTATCTTAGTCGGTCAGTTCCCTCCTTTTCCCTCAAGGGCTTTCATGACATTCTGTTTAAATGGCTGTGTCTATAGACAGAGTGGGTTTTGCATTCCTGCATTGTTTACTCACTAAACCATGAAGGAGTCATTTTAGGGGCAAATCCTAATTTCTACGTAAATCTAATTTTTACTTAGTCATGCATTGATGTCGATGGGAGACGAAGTGAACATTTGACTTAAATGGAAGTTAGGATTCGCCCCCTAGAGAGGATCCATCTTCTTTAATCGTCCTTAGTGTATGCCCTTCATGTTGCTGTAACTCCCCTCTACTTTCTAAGTAAAATGCACTGTCAGGGAAAATATACACAAGCCATCTGGAAAATGGACAAAAAGTGGCAAGTGCATTGCTCTCCTTTCCTGGAATTTCTCTTTTGTAAATTACCTTTGGTTGTATATGACAGTATGTTCACTTCCCATAAGGCTTTACACTCCATTTCCTAAAAGGAAATGTTAACATGCAATCTTTAATAAATATAAGTTACATTTTCTTATTCCCTTAAAAGTGGTTTTTATTTTTTATTTATACACAGGGTTTGATAAATGTGGTGGATAGTAGAGGAGGGGCACCGGAGCTTTGGGGAGTGTTGTTACATTTGGCATCAGCGTGTAGGGGAGTTGGAAGGTTGTAATCACTACCTTTGATAGTGTACAGCATGGTGGACAGGGGACATCATACTGCACGGTGAGGCACATTGAAGCTGTCGAACAAGTTGTTGAGGTACATTTAAAAATGTAAATACAATACTGGATATTTTTTGTCAAATATCAAGCCACAAACATACATTACTACCACATTGCAATGGGTGTAGGGAGAGAGATTTGTACACATGTACATAATAAAACATTCAACGTATCATTAGTTTCTATACACATATATACACTGAACAAAAATATAAACGCAACATGTAACAATTTCTACGATTTTACTAAGTTACAGTTCATATGAGGAAATCCATCAATTTAAATAAATTCACTAGGCCCTAATCTAAGGATTTCACATGACTGGGAATACAGATATACATCTGTTCGTCACAGATACCTAAAAAAAAATGGGCCTCAGGATATCGTCATGTTACGTTTATATTTTGGTTCAGTGTACATAAGGGCAATAAGACACCTAGGCCTAGTTTGATTATCTACAACACAAAGGCACACACACACAGCGTTCCACATGTACTTTCAGGAGTCTTTGTAGTAGTTGTTGATGTGGTGTGGGTAGTCCTCCCAGTGAGGCTGATATCCTCGGTTCTCCAGCTTGGTCACCACTGAGGAGACACCACCGAGACAGAGATATTTGTCATTTGCCTGACTGGTTAAAGGGGTTACTGACATGAGACTTTTCAGAGAGCGGAAGTACGGAAAATGGGCCTAAAACATGAAGTTGTTTTTACTCTACCCAGTTACAAACTAACAACTGCAACAAGAGGTGCTCAGGAATAAGGGCTTCTAGATGTTGATTTGGAATTGAACACATCATCTCCTCCAGATAGAAACTCCCCTCTACTCTCATCAGAAAGGTCACCAGAGGTCAGTGAGGCTTTAACCCTGTCCTTACCTTTAAAGAGGAAGTGGGAGTAGTATTTGAAGGTGTTGTATGACTTCTGCATGGCGATGAAGCTTGGATGCACTGCCTCCCCTTGCTGGTTGTCCCAGGGCTGTGCTATCAGCTGGGCCCGGAACTTCAGGATCAGACTGAAGATGCTGTGGATGAGGTTCATGCCTTCTCTGTCAACAGACCCCTGGGAGGGGAAGAGAGGAAAAGGATACAGAATGTCGAGTTCATGTAGGCTTCATATTGAGTTAAAGATAACCTGTTGAGAGCAGGCTGAGTTCAAAGTTTAGAGTAGGATTCATGTATAGTGTGTGTCTAACCTGGAGATGGCGACGCAACCACACACACATCATTTAATGGGTTACTTTTGAGTGGTGGCATATGACTGGAGCTATAGAATAAAGAAAACCTGCACATGAGATATGCTGCTCCCAAGCGGTGTGGTGCTTGTTGTATTAAAGCGCTTGAGACCAGCAGTATCCCTTTCTTCAGGGCTTTCTTTCCTTTCTTTAGGGCTTTCTTTCTTTAGGCATTATTTCAAGGGTTCTACTTCAGAGATGGAGCTCTTACCGGTCCTCGAGGTGGAACTAGATGTCCCGGAGGCTCCACACCATGTTTTAGCTACAGCAGGAAGGAAAAGAGACGGTTGTACTTGTTCATACAGCTGTCTGTGATGATGATGTTCAACGGCCAGTCCACCTGAGAGACAGAAGGGAGGGAGAGAGAGAAGGAGGGACTACATCACAATTTGAGGGATGTAAGCAATCTACTGCACACACACACACAGGCTCCCTCATACACTCTGGCCTCTGACCTTGTGGCGTAGCTCCAGGCAGTTGAGTGTCGGGGGTGTGAGGGTGGAAGGTCTCAGGGAGGAAGCGCAGGGCGAAGGTGAAGTTAGGGGCCAGGGAACTGTCTCCATGGAGACTGTACTAGAGATCCTTACTCAGGACCAAAGCAGTCAACAGCTCCCCAGGAGTCTGACCACTGCCCATCTGATGAGACAAGAACACACACGTGGGTTAGATATGGAAACACCACTGACAAAACACAGACACACACACACACAAAACAGAGGCTGACAGAAAAAGCATAGCAAATACACACCCAGGCAAAATGCACACAGGTACAAAATATACACATACAGACAAAACACACACCCAGGCATATGACAGCTGCATTTTACATTCTCAAAGATCAGGTCGCTGAGAGACTGGGCAAACTACCCATCCTCCATCAGCAGGAAGTGCCTGACGGCCTTAAAATGCCTCTCACACCCAGCTCGACGAAGAAATAGTCCACCACCACCTTGTTCACCAAGGACACACTGAGGGGGAGAGAGAGAGGAGTGGGGTTAACAGGAGTACGAAATAGTCAGTGCTAAGCGCACAAATAGAGAGATGTTGACTTGTTCTGACTCACTGTGTGATGAGTGGGGTGGTGACAGAGGGTTTCATGAGGGGGGACAGAGAGACCATCCCACTGAGCTGCACCACCGTGGCGTCTGTGGCCCTGCGACGCGACAGGTCCACCGGGAGGCCCCAGGGGACCCACATCACCTGCTGCAGGGGGTGAAACCCTGGCGCCAACGCTGTAGAGGAAACAGCGCACAAAGACAGACACATGGTGAGATTCTACTTCAAAATATGTGTAAAATACATTTCTGGTTACTTCACTAAAATAGCTTAAAAATGAATAGACGACCACTGTTTATTTCCTGGGCAACTTTAGACTAGAGCAGTCCATTCCTGATACCGTATGATGCAATGGCCTTTTATCCTTTTGATTTGCTCACCTCCTGCATTCTCTCTCCTCCGTTATCTCTCACCTCCTGCATCCTCTCTCCTGCGTTATCTCTCACCTCCTGCGTCCTCTCCTCCGTTATCTCTCACCTCCTTTTGAAAAATGTCAAAGTTAATCGAGGAGAGTTGGCGAGGAGAGTGAATGTGGATGAAATGAGATTGCTCGAAATGAGACGGTCCTTCTCCACTCACGGGTCATTAGGCTAATGACGTTTACAGGGGTGGATCCCAAAATAAATGTGTAAAGTGATAAAAACTAAGTAAGTTAGTTGTGCAATAAGTTTTATAGATTAAACAATAAGTAGCATATTGTTTTTAAACGTCCATGTTTTTCTCTGACAAAACAAAAGCTGATTCAAAGGGGGTGTGGCAGATTTCAAAACTCTTCTGCAGTAGGATACACATGAGGATCTTCGATGAAAGATGGCTATCG